AAATTTGAGAACTGAAAAAGTCAAGTTTGTAGGATGAATAATGGAAGTGTGTTTGATTTTGGACTAATTTTTCATTTCAAGTCTGCTTCAACCAAGAACTTGTCAAATCAAACCACGCCATCTAGTAAAAACCTTATGCTAATAATAATAAAAGAGAAAATGAACTAAAGAAAATGTTTAGGAAAAAAAATTGCAATTGGGATGAAAATTTTGGCTGTAACCTTAATTTTTAATTTAATTTTAGTATGTAATTTTGGTATACTTAGTTCTTTTTTAATTCAATTAGTTTTATTTTCTTTTTTAAATGAAGTAATTTTTGTAATTTGTAATTTCAGACAAAATTAATAAATAAATTTTATTACAGTTTATATATACATATTAAAATATTTGTGTAAATTTTATGCATTAAATCCTTTTACTTTAATATTCAAATTGATTTCCTTTTACATAAAAAAATATATTTTAAACTTAAAATTTCTAAAAATATAAATATAAAATGACACATGTAATATTTAAATTTTTAACGCAACAAATATAAATTTCTAAAAGTTACAAGTGTTATTTTATATTTACATTTTTAATATATTAAAAAAAATTACAACCTTAAATAGTGATTTTTTATGTAAAAATATAAAGATAAAATTAATTTAAAAATTTGGGTAGAATGATTTAATGAATAAATTCTTGAAAGGTATTTTAACATGTATATAAGTTATAATTAAACTTAATTATTAATATTGTCTCAAATTGTAAAAAAATCAAATTACTCTATTTAAAAAAATATATATTAAATTGAATTAAATTTTTAAATATTGTTGTGTGACAATAATAATGACATGTGATATCAATTTAAATTTTTTCCCTTAAAAAGTAAAAAAGAGAATTTAAATAATATAAAACTAAAAATACTATAAATTAACACGTGACAATAACATTAATATAATAACTAATTAAATTAGATTATTTTAATAATATAATTAAATATTTTAATTTAAAACTATATCTACTATTCTTTTACTTTTTCTATATCCTTAAATTTTCGGTGATGGAGATCAACGTAAATTATAATTAATTAACAATACTTATAATTAATGTATTGTTTTAAGAGCTCAATTAAAAATAAACAAAAATACGTATAAAATTGAAGATGAAATTCAAATATAATTTGTTTGTTTTAGTTTTTTCATAAGGAATAAAGTTATTGAATCATTTCTTATATTATAATGTTTGCAATAAATTGGAACACGTAACAGTATTTGACGGGAAAATCCGCTTGTCTTTTCACGATTTCCACTTTTGAGTTTAAATTTGACGATAGAAAGCTAAAGCTTAGACCTTTTACACACTTTATTTATTCTTTAACCTTATCTTAAAGTCTTCTTCATAAATGATCATAAATCACCCTAATCATTCATTACTGTTATTATATAAATTATTTCACCAGATTTAACTTATAACTAAATTTAAACATGAAAATTCTTTTCACGTTACTCTTTAGCATAACTCTTTTGCTATTTTTAATTTTATAAAACCGAGAAAATATATATATCTTTTTTACGTTTACCTTTAACCTACTCATTTTCTCATGTTTACCCAGTAAAAGAAAATTATATTCATTGTTTAGTATCCAATTTTAAAAATGAAGTAATTGTATGAAAAATATATGAATAAGGTCCACAAAGAAAAAATAAGTTCAACAAATAAAAAAAAAAGCTGAACAAGAAAGACAAAAAAGTGGACAGCAGAAGAGAGAAAAGAGAAAATACTGCCACATCAACATGGACTTAATGTCGTTGCTGTCAACTTAACGGACAGAAACTTATTCATACATTTTTCATAACATAGGGATCTAATGTCTTTCATCTTTAAAACCGCCTACTAAATAAAAATTTACCACTTAACACGAGGACGAAGTAAGATTTAAGATTGATATTCACACTTCTCTAATTTAAAATTAATGTTTTTCCTTTATGTATTTTTTTACTTTTTTAAAAACATTGATTCCGCTTTTAGTAACTTAATTTTTTTATGCCGAATGTAAAGTGATAATCAACTTTGTTATAAAAAAATAATATATTGACTAAATTTACTTTAAATTTTGTAAAAAAATATTTTTTTTTATTAATAAAAGTAGAATGGTTTTATCATCGAAAATTTACATCCGTCTCTGCTGTAATTCCTTAAGAATAAAATTCACAGTTTATCTAACTTTAAAATAAACATTTGCGTCTTATGTCATTGGTAAAACATCAATCATATTTATTATTTTAGTTAGATTTAAGCTTGTATTTCTTACCACGTATTTATATAGTTTTATTACAACCGTGTTTAAATATAATAATAAATTAATAAATTTACTGATATCTTTAATAAATATTTTTTCTTATTTGTATACTAAAACAGTACTATCTTAAAAAATCACTCTTACAAGACCATTCATAATCCAGTCACAGTATGATAATCAAATTATTCAAAACAAAATGTTTTATAGAATCTTTATTTTAAACTTTTAACTTTTATTATTTGCTATTTAAATTTTAGTTAATTTTAAATCAACCAAGTAAGATAAATATTAATTCATTAAAACACATAAAACTGTATATTATTTTATTAAAAATATAAAGTATTTTAATTTTTCTAAAAATATAAAAAAAAATGTTAATATATTTGAGTATTTATGTGATAATGGTAAGGTAAGAATAATTTATAATCTACCGTGATTTTTAATAAAGTAAGTTTGATTATCCTATATAAACTATTTTCTAGTTATTTTTTATAGGATTTTGTAAATGTTCACAAGTTTGTATGAGATTAGAAGATCATGTTAATTCAAGATCAATCTTTGATTTTAATGTTTTGAAATGTCTTGGTTATAGGAGTTTGTAAGAGCAACTTCATATCTTTTTTTATAGAATGTCTGCAACTTAAAAAAACCATAAACGATTAAACAAAAAAAAAGTTCATAATTTTACCTTTAAACGAAAATAAGATTGAAATTAGACATTCTTTTTTCACCCAAACAATAAGTAATGCAAAGAAAAATTCTATTGAATAGAGGAAATAGTTCAATGAATAGATATTAATATATATTATATTTTCACTTATTATTTAATTTATTTTTCAATATTATTCTTTAAATATTTTTTTAAAATTAAAACAATTATTTTAATCATTTTATCTTTTAAGTAAATGTTTTCTTAAATTTAACCGTTTTTTCGTTTTGAGATTTTTTTAACTCAATAATTTTCTAATTATAAAATTACCTATAAAATAAATAAAAACTATTTATAATAAAATCATAAAAATTATTTATATTTAATTTTAAAATTATAACAATAATAATTTATTATTTTTTATTATTATAAAAAAAGAAATACTCACGTCACTCATATTCCTAATTTAAATATCAAATCACTTTTTTTTATTATCGAATAAGTTTGTAATAATTGAAAATACTTATAAACTATTTATTTACACTAAGTGAACAATGTAACAAATTTTTTTTATCAATAACAATATATTCATAACAAAATATAATAATTTTTACCTACAAATCCAGTTTTACAACTAACCCAAATTTCTATTTTCAAAACAATAAAAAACTGTAATTCTCAAACAAAATTTATAAACATATAAAATTACTGAAATAGAAAACAATGATATTGCTTTTAAGTTTGAATAGAAAATGGAAAGAATCTTGAGAAGTTCAGAATACATTACCAGAAAACTATCAACTTTAAAAATACACTCTTACCAACCAAAAGCGCGTTCAAAATACGACAAGAGAGTTAGGTTTAAGTCTGTTTGAGTAACCAATAAAACCTTTCCAATTTTGAAAATCTCAATTTCGAATTTTATTTTTACTCTTTTAAAATTCACATAATAATATTTCTATATGAAAAAATTTCAAGATATACTATCATATAACATATAATTGGAATATTTTTCTTTGGTTTGTTACTGACAATATGTAAACATTTTACATAATTATTAAAATAAAATATTTTCATTGAGACCTCACTGTACCACGTGCTTGTTAGTTGCTAGCATGTCATTAGATATTAAATTTAACGTGGTCCATAAGATTAAAATTAACTCAATTTTATAGAAAAAAAGACATAATTAAAATAAAAAAATACAATAATCTATTGGAGACAAATCTACACAAAGACACTTCTGAAATAATTAAACATAAATTTTAACATAATATTGTTTCAAATTTTAAAAATAAATAAGTATAGTTTTTTCAATTTAACTCAGTTAAATTTGTTTGATATAACAAATTATTTTTTAATTGAAGTTTGAACAGTTGATAACGTTTTACATATCAAATATATCAATATGTAACGTTGTTTAATAGGTTAAAACAAATAAATGCAGTTGACTTAAAATTATTATATTTATTTATTTTTAAAATTTGATAACAAAATGTATATAAAAATAAAAAATAAAAACAAATTTTAATTTTGTGATATTAAATTATAAGACTACAAACTATTTAATTTTAAATAAAATATTCTCAATCCAACTTTTGAAGTTGTAAACTCGTACCAAGTTTTACGTTGTAAAAAAATGAATTTTAATTATATTTTCCACACAATTATCAGAACTACTGAAAGTTCAAATATATTTTAAAAAAACAATTTCATAAAGTGGTATTTAAAATATACATAATTACTTTTATTCGTTGACCTACTATTAAACTCGTCAATACGGTAACAATTCAAAAATATGGAAAAATAGTTATAAGAAAAAGATTGTAAGTCTCTGCAGGTTTGCAATAAAAATATCCACACAAAAAAGATTGATTGTCTAACATCTTTTTGAGGGAATTAATCTAGCTAAACATATATACTTATATATAATATAAATTTCTCCCACCTATTTTGAAAAGCTATCAAGGGAACCGACTAAATTTATATTTCTTTAATTTGGAGAAAAACTTTAAACAAATAATTTTAAATTAATTTATATATATAATAAATAAAATATACTAATTTTTATTATAACCTATTAATTATCAATGAAAAACGATGCTTCAAAAAAAATTGCCAATATACAATTTCAGCCAATAAGCCTTACGAAACATAATTGACTTTGTTCTCAATGTAAGCTTGGATTGATGGTTCTCTTCCTAGAAAGTCTGATAAGACATCATTAGGATCTTTCATTCCGACCGTGGCCAAAACCTGCAAATGTTTTTAAATCAGTATGAATATAAAATTAGAACAAACTAATAAATTGCTGCATCTACCGTTATCCCAAGAACAAAAAATTAGTACATAATATTAGAAATGAAAATTTTATACGAATTTCATATAAATATAATGCTAAATTTTCGGCTCCTAAATCAGGACGTCTATGCCATGACTTACCTTGTTCCTGAATTGCATGCCGGCATGCTGGTTTGAAACATCGTTGCAGAACTTTGAGGCGAATATATCAGCAGCACAAACCTGAAACATTTTAGACTTCAGCTTTAATTTTTCAAATTCAATGATCGGGGAAGACTTTTTTCCAGAAACACAATAAGGAAAGTGAGAAAACTATATCCATGGATGACTGAAAATTAAAAGATGCTTGCAAAGAAACATGATTATCATTATTTTTGACAAGGGTATCACACAATGTAACGAGTAATTCAAACCTCACTCCATATACGACTATAGCAAGCTGCCTCATAACCTATGACAGTAGAAGGAAAATATGACGCTGGATTGGTTCCTTCTGGTATCGGCAAGCCCAACATCTCCTTCGAAATGAATTTAAGTAAAACTTCCTCTCACTCTTTTATCACAAACATTAAACTTATAATTATAAGTGATGTTAAATATTTACCATGGGATGAAGATGCTTGAATAATTCATGCACGTCTATGTTATCCGTGGAATGTATGATTTGGTCAAAAAGACCTGATAACAAGCAGATCTTAGAAGTTAAATAATGAAACGTACTAATAGAAAGTAGTCAAAAGTAACTAAACAGTCCACGCACAAATAGAAAGTAGAACTTATGATCGTTTCACGTTTCTTCAAATAGAAAATAAATATTTTACGTACTTATCTAATTTCACTTCTACCATTAACAAAAGCACATTGAGAATACATTCATGTCTACACACACACACACACACAATATACAGCTATTGACTGAGGTATGTTTGGTTTAGATTTTAATAGAATTGATTTTGAAGGAAATTACGCTTAAAAATCAATTTATGCTTAGGAATGATATTTTAAAAGTGAGTACAAAAGAATGGATTTTATATGGATAGTATAGTTACTTCTGAAGTATAAATATAGATGTTTTAAGAATAATAACCAAACATTAAATCATTTCTAACAACCAGAAACAATTCCAATTACTAGAAAGCTACAAATTGCCACTCCACTAAAAATCAATTTCACTTGCTGTATAAGTCATGATGAAGAATACTAACCAAAACTGAAATCATTTTTCACTTCAAAAATATATTACTTTTTTTTTTTTATAAAAATTAACAGACTCTAAATCGAATCCCAGACGATAAGAATTACTCTCTACTTTGTAGAGGTCAAACCATTGTATATGACAATGTAATCTAACCAACTACCATTTAAGAGGAACTACAGATTACAGCTTAAATGGACTTCTCCATAACAGACTAATTATAATGCAAATAAGCATCAAGTAAGATAAGTAAAAAGTATAAGAAATTTAGAAAATATAGAGGTAAACTGAAACAATGAAAATGTGAAAGCATACAGCATTAGAATATCTGCTTCAATTTAAGTGCAGAAAAAGAGTTCTCCATCTTTTAATTGAATTGCATATGTCATCCTTCAACGGTTTTGTAATATCCTGCAAGTGACAGTTAATATATTAATACTTCAAAAAAGATTAGTAGTCGTGTCAAGATTGAGGTTACCTAAAAAAATGACGATATATTAAGAAAAAAACAAACCTAGTTTAGAAGATTATGAGGGAACAATTAGTGTAAACTCACCTGATGCGAATCTGAAATCAACTTGAGAGAATAGCTTCATAACACCTACAAGTAGGAAGTTAGAATCTATGTTTGATTAATCTTTTGATAATGTTTATCCTAAATTTTGAATTTTTGAACACCGATGGATGGTGGATATGTATTAATTGTGTTTACCAGTTTTTCTAAACAGTAGAGAAGGATTTCCAAAAAGTTGGATCAAACACAATCCAGAAATTCTGGCATCACGATGCACGGTTGCAAATTTGTTGAACCTAAAGTGGTTTTAAAAATAACATCAGAATAAAGGTGAAAGGTAAATAATGTCATGTGCAATCAAAACTAAATTTAAACAAGTAAGTAATATGCCACACCTGCATGAAAATACTGCACAATTTATACCCAAATTCAAGCTATTACAGAATGAATCTTACTAATAACTTAGGTAGAAGCATTAGTAATCATAAAAATCGAGAGTAGGTAGATCATAAAAAACAATATCGCCCTAGAATTGCAACTCATAGTCAGTGAGTTCA